TCACCCCCAGCCCCAGCACTTTCCCACCATCCCTATCCACCCCAATTCCCACATCTCCTCATCCCCACCCCCCCATTCCCATCACCGCCCCTCCCCGTGCCCACCCCATGCCCCAAACCCCCCATCTCTCTATCCTCATCACCCCGTCCCCATCCCCCTATCCCCACACCTCCCCACCCTCATAAGAATTCCCCAATTCCCGACCCCCTCCCGCCATCCATCCCCCCGTCCCCACTCCCCTGCCCTTCCCCCCATCCCCAGCCCTTTCCATGCTCATCCCATTCCCTCTGAACCCCGGGAATGGGACAGGAGGGCAGCACCAGGGGGGAAGGGGGGATGCTGAACTGGGGGGGAAGGGGGCAGGGAGAATGAGGGGGGGGTTAAATGGGGGTCTGGGGTAACGGGGGGTGGAAATAGGGATCTGGGGTAGTGGGGAGTGGAAATAGGGATCTGGGGTAATGGGGCTTTGAAATGGGGATCTGGGGTAATGGGGGTGGAAATGGGATCTGGGGTAATGGAGGGGTGGAAATGGGGATCTGGGGTAATGGAGGGGTGGGAATGGGGATCTGGGGTAATGGGGGGGGTGGAAATGGGGATCTGGGGTAATGGAGGGGTGGGAATGGGGATCTGGGGTAACAGGGATGGAAATGGGGATTTAGGGTAATGGGGAGTCAATGAGGAAGTGGGGGCTTGGACATTGGGGGGCTGGTGCTACAGGGGGAACTGGGGAAATGAGTGGGGCTGGAAATGCAGGGCAGGGATATTGGGAGGATAATGGGGGGCTGGGGAATGCAGGGGATCTGAGGTAATGGGGGAAATGGGGCATTGTGGGGGCTGGGGCAGAGATGGAGAATGGAAAGGGGGGCTCTGGGGAAATGGGAAGTCTGGGACACTGGGGGGCACTGAGGGGGTCTAGGGCATTGGAGGGTCAAGCCCCATTGGCATTGGGGGCCAAGCCTGGCCAACACTCAGGAATTATTCAGGACAGAAAAGCTCTGGGGGAGAACAAGCCAAATTCCCAATGGCTTGATCCATGCTCATAGTGGTCTACTCCTTCCGAGTTGGGATATGGCTAAAAAAGCTGGATATCTGCTGATTTTTTTTTTTTTTTTAATCAGGAGTTTTAATTTTCAGGCTCATCCCCGAGCTGGGATGTCCCTTTTCTGTCCTGTCCCCAAGGCTGGCTGTGAGGAGAGCTCAGAGGGACCCCTGGGGTGGGAAATGACATCAAGAACTGCCAGGGAAGGGAAGGGAAGGGAAGGGAAGGGAAGGGAAGGGAAGGGAAGGAAAGGGAAGGGAAGGGAATATAAAATAATTTGCAAGCAGGGAGATTCCATTGGGATAAAAGCACCCATCCCAAAAGCCTGCAGCAGCAGAGCTGAAGGAATTTTGGGTGTTCACCAAACTTCATGCTTCCCAAAAAACCCTACAGCAGCGCATGGGATAGCTCCCATGCTTGGAGCTGGCCATGGTCTGAGAGGTGGATGAAGATTCCAGGCAGTGGGAATGGCACAATCAGTCCATATAAAAATATCTGGTAATATTTTAATTGACTTCTGTTGGTTTTCTCCATGAGGGAAGAGTCTGGAGTGACTCAGAGTCTCTAAACTGGGTTAATGTTCCCTCAGTGCCAAGGTGCTCTTCCAGGCATGACATCCTGCTGGGAAGGGAGAGGGAATGCCCTGGCATGGCCACTCCAGCCTGGGAAACCAACACCACTGCACCACACCAGGGCTTTCCCATCTAATTCCCCCAAAACCACCCCATGAGGGTTCACTGCTCCAGCTCAGGGTGAGCTCCTCCACAGGAGCCTTTGGATTTTGTTATTAATATGGCAAAGAACTTCTTCAGCTGCACATGGGGTGGGGGGATCCCTTGGATTTCTTAAGGAGCACCTGTTTAATCCTCTGTGGAAGAGCATCTCTGTTATCATCACCCCCAGCCCATCACCTCTGTCCCATCCCCTGTCCCTTCAGCCTTGTCACCATCATCCCTGTTCCTATCACCTCTGTCCCTTCATCCCTGTCACCATCATCCCTGTTCCCATCATCTCTGTCCCTTCATCCCTGTCACCATCATCCCTGTTCCCATCCCCTGTCCCTTCAGCCCTGTCACCATCATCCCTGTCCCATCATCCCTGTTCCCATCACCTCTGTCCCTTCATCCCTGTCACCATCATCCCTGTTCCCATCACCTCTGTCCCTTCAGCCTTGTCACCATCATCCCTGTTCCTATCACCTCTGTCCCTTCATCCCTGTCACCATCATCCCTGTTCCCATCACCTCTGTCCCATCATCCCTGTCCCTTCAACCTTGTTCCCATCACCTCTGCTTCTTCAGCCCTGTCACCATCATCCCTGTCACTATCATCCTTGTCCCTTCAGCCCTGTCACCAGCACCTCTGTCCTATCATCATCCCTGTCACCATCATCCATCTCACCATCGTCTCTGTCCCATCACTTCTGTCATCATCTCTGTCACCACCATCTGTCCTATCATCCCTCTCCCATCAACCCTGTCACCACCCCTGTCACCATCACACCTGCCCCATCATCTGTCTCCTCATCTCCATCACCATCATTCCTGTCACTGTCCCCCTGTCCCCTTTCCCTGTCTCCATCATCTCTGTCCCATGATCCCTGTCCCATCAACACTGTCACCACCATGCCTGTCTCCTCTTCCCTATCCCATCATCTCCATCACCTCTGTCACCACCACCTCTGTCCCATCATCTCTGTCCCACCACCTCTGTCCCTTCATCCCACCCAAGAGGGAAACCAGAGGACATGCACCCAACCCCACTAAACAACACCCCAAAGATTTCCCCTGCTCTGGAGCCCCGGATTTATTACTGGTGGGGAAACACCTGGAAAAATCCATGTAGGAGGACAAGAGCCTGCCCCAGGCAAAGGCAGCTCCAGGGGAGAGCAGCAGCTCTGGATCCAGGACGTGCAGGAAAATCCCAGCTCCCGGCTGTTCCCAGGTGCCCGGGAAGGACCTGGAGGCTCCGAAGGGAAGGGCCATCTGTCACGGCTATCACGCGCCCAGAGGGACAGCTGAGGCTGCTGACCTCAGCTTCCAGCTCCTGCTTTCCTTTGTGGGGCTGCAGGGGGGAAAAAAGGGAAAACAATCAGGAGAGAAGGTGCCCTCCAGCAGATTTTTGTGTTTTTATAGGATTCAGCTTGGAGCTCTTGATGTTTTCACTTCCTTTGTCAGCAACAGCATTTTTCTAGGGATTTTTTTGCCTGCCCTGTACCTCCACTTCCCAAGGGATTGCTTCCCATCCTCACTCCACCTGCGTTTTCCAAGGCAGTACCTCTCACTCCTGCCTGCTTTCCTTTCTGGGATCAGCACTGGAGCATCGCTCCAGCAGCCTGGGCTGATTCTGCTCTCTAAGCTGCTTCTCTAAAGGAGGCTCCAGGGGTTTTCCAGAGGCACTGGGCAGCAGCAGGTTCAGGGATGAAGATTACAGTTATTTTGTGCTGGCAGCCACCTCTAGAGTTTGCTGCTCCCGTCACACTGGGAGGATCCCAGATCTGCTCTCCTCGGATGTCCCTGCACCCAAAGGTGTCCCTCTCATCCCATCGGCTTTCCCAGGGCAGGTGCAATGTGCTTTCCCAAAACCTCGATCCAGCAATTCCTGCTGCCGTGATTTCCCCAGGATCACAGGCACCACTCTGCTCTGAACATTCACTGTGCTCTTCCCACAACCACAGAATCATGGAGCAGGTTGGGTCGGAAGGGACCTTAAAGGTCAGCTCGTTCCAGCCCCAGGGACAGCAGGATGAGGGGATTCTCCCTCTCCACTCAGGTGAGATCCCAGTGGGAATGCTGTGCCCAGCCCTGGGCAGGCACAGGGACGACCTGGAGCTGCTGGAGTGAGACCAGAGGAGGAACCAGAGCTGATCCAAGGGTTGGAGCCAGGCTGGGAGAGCTGGGGGTGCTCACCTGGAGAGGAGAAGCTCCAGGGAGAGCTCAGAGCCCTTCCAGGGCCTAAAGGGGCTCCAGGAGAGCTGGAGAGGGACTGGGGACAAGGGATGGAGGGACAGGACACAGGGAATGGCAGGCTGGATAGGATATTTGGAATTGGGAATTGTTCCCTGGGAGGGTGGGAGCCCTGGAGCTGAGCTCTCCCAGCGGTGCCCGGGGACATCTGGCCCTGCCAGGCGCTAGGAAATGGCCTCTTAATGAAGAAAATTAAACCATCCTCTACTAAGACACGGGGAATGGATGGATACTGGGGAGGGATCGCTGCCTGGGAGGGGAGCAGGGCAGGGATGGCGCTGGATGCCCGGAATCTCGGGACTCGCAGCCGGGACCTCCCCGATCCGGCGGGACCCGCCCGTCCCCTCAGGCCGGCCCCGCCCCGCCGCTCCCGCCGCTCCCGCCGCTCCCGCGCGCTCGGCGGCGCTCTCGCGAGACTTCCCGACATGGCGCCGGCGGGCAGCGCCAACCTGCCGTGGTACGGCCGGGAGCGGGGGCACCGGGACACCGGGACACCGGGACACCGGGATAGCGCGGCGGGACTGCCCCGCGGCTCACTCCCGCTCCTTTCTATCCCCGCTGCAGGGTGGAGAAGTACCGTCCGCAGGCGCTGTCCGAGCTGGTGTCTCACCGGGACATCCTCAGCACCGGTAATGAAGCTCTCTCCCCGCGGTGACCCTCCCCGCCGGTCCCGGCTGTCCCCCAGCCCCGTTATCCCGTTGTTATCCCGTTGTTATCCCGCAGTGCAACGCTTCATCAGCGAGGACCGGCTCCCCCATCTGCTCCTCTATGGGCCGCCCGGTACCGGGAAGACATCGACCATCCTGGCCTGTGCCCGGCAGCTCTACCGGGAGCGGGAGTTCGGCTCCATGGTGCTGGAGGTGAGCGGGAATGGGGTGGGGTGGGGTGGGGTGGGATGGGGT